AATTAGCAAGCAGTTAGTTTTGTTCAAGAGTCAAAGTTTACATTAACACGTGAATCTTTCATTGACACGTTGACTTCGGCTATTTTTGTTTCTAGTTTTATTGTCACTTTCATGATAACTGAGGTGGCCTAGTTTTTAAAAAGAGTATTATCTCTGCAGAAACGCTTAGGACAAGGAGTAATACTCAGTGAAGACAATTACCGGTAATCAGGAGACAAATGTGACTCGAGATATCCGGTTTTTCACTGACGTGATAAAATATCAAACTAATTTTACAACAGAAAAACAGCATATAAAAAGTCGTATATAACAAACACAAAATTACAATTTATATTTGATATGCGATACATAATTCTCCAAAGACCGCATTTCCCGGCGTATAGTACCGTTCCTTACTTCAGGCTGCCTATGAATCAGAAGAAATGAGTGTTAAACATAATGATCTTCGTTTCTCGATCCATGGTTAAAGGTAATAATTTAGAAAGGACGATGTGTACATTGTGCTTGTTATTAACCGGGTAGTCAGCTTTCAAGTGAGTGAAAGTGAAATCCAGCAACTGGAGAAGTTCGCATCGAGCAACATGGTCATACATCTCGTCCATTCTGGTATGGCCAGATCAGAATATCATTCTGTCCATGCTCTTCACATTTCAGTGAATTACTGCCTGTTACTCGGCAGGCAGCACCAAAGCATCATCGGATAAATTCTTTGCTCAAGGGAATTCACGGTTAAGACAAAGATCGTACGTCCCTTTGCTGCAGTCGAACGTGGCACCTCTGAAGATTGAAACATCTTTCTCACTCAAGCACCACGCCCCCTGGGAAGCGGAAAATGCAAACATCATCTACTCTCATCTACTCAGTTCCGTGACTTCATTCTCATTTTGCGATGCGTAGCAGAAAAGCAAGAAAAGTATTTGATAAATCTAAGTGTATAGTCAGAAACAGCTACTTAACTCATAACTGGTTAGCAAAACGTTCCATTTTCTGTCATTGTCCAAAATATTGTGTAAGTCGTCGCGTACCGTCTTGCTTCCGATGTAGTGCAAAATTTTCAAAGAACTACCAAACCTAAAAGAAAATGTTCTATACGTAAAAATGCGACATAAAAGAAAGACTTCTGTACAATTTGATGATCCGGTCGTTTCTTTGCATTAAGATAAAGGTCAGGTGCTGGTCTCCATTTCCAAGCCACCAGTGCCTCATTTTAAAGGCAGAGTAGGCAGCAACTGTATGACAAGCATATTACGTAGTCTGCGGTTCCCTTCCCACATAATGATCCTCAGTTATCAACCTCCAAAAGAAAAGAAAGTTACTAGGCCGAGACTTAAATCCAGTTGAAATACTACGCTATACTGAGCATTTCCGCGCCAGTAGAAGAAAAAACACGTACTCGCTGTACAAATAGGACAGGGCTTTCGAAGATCAGCCTGCGCTACCAATTGCATCATCGAAACTGAAACTGAAGGGCGGGGGATTTGAAGCATCCTTTGAGTAGTGCAATCTGAACTTTAGCGGAGCTGATCTTTATTTTGTTTTTTAGCTACCCCATGCACACCCATCCATTATGTGGAGTTATCTGATAAAAGGAAACTGGCCATGGTGTCTCAGTGATGTTTAAATAAAAGGAATTGACAACTTGTAGCAAGGCGCTTAGCTTTATTCTGACAAAGTAAGTAAACGGAGTGCTTTTCAGCCTGCTAATCGTCTAGCCAGTGTTCTTAGTTGTTTTATCTACCTCATTTAGAAATTTCTAAAATGAGCAAAAACTGAGAAGCACAGTAATAATGCCTAAATTTGATTAACTGTTTGTCAGCACTGCGGTTCATGACCATCTGTTCTGCTTTTTGCCAATGGCACAGTAGCGCGGTGCATCTTGATTTCCAATCCCATTTCTTTTCATTCTGATCCTTCTCGACCCTATTTTATAATTCACAAAACTACTTATTCATTTTAAAACTTCCAAAGCTCAAGATAGTTGCGTCGCTCAAAACCGAAATCCTGCAGTCGAGAAAGGCATGGTTGAGAATAATGATCAGAAACGCCAAAAAAGTCGATTAACGAAGTTCTGATATCCTGAGTTAACACAGCTTCTGTTTTTAAGCTAGATGTATTAATGACAACTAAACTCTGCCTAAAGATTCGGTTAATGCAAGTACATCGTAATCATTAATTATAAAAGAAAGCATGCTGAAAATTTTCATTATATTAGCTGCTCCCTGAACACAAAATGATCATTTGTGGCGGAGAAATATAACATCCTATACATGCGGTGCTTAAACTTATATTAAGACAGGCAGTTATGAATCGGTCTGTGCTGCAACCACGCCAAAATGGTCATTCCGAATCAGTGGTCGGGCACGACAGAGTGCTGCTACCACGTCAGCGGAATGGTAAGGGTGAGTCAAAATTACCTAGATCTCACCGTTTCGCTTCCGGCTATGATATGGCGCTAGTCAGATGTGACAGCACCACATGGAGATGACGGAGGCAATTGCAGGCAGGTTTATCCTAGCAATCGAGCAATAGAACAAAAAGGACCCTTTGGGCATTGTGGAAACATTAATGTCGCCATTTTGACATGACCATTAATCGTCCAGTCGTTAGCGGATGGGATCTTCATCGCTGCAGATCCGCTCAGCAGGCAGCTGTTAAACTAAAACGTTTGGCGGACGACGGACTAAGAATCATAGGGAAATAAGACTACATAGGTCATTTGGATGGCCGAGATCAAAGACGTAGTGTGTAAAAAAGATGCCCATGTCAATTATCCCTCTTCCTATAACCAACTTTTATATCCCGGGAGGAGGTGACTATTAAAATAAAGAATCACAAATCGCTGCTGGAACTACGTACAATAAAACGTATGGGTACTTTTCATATCCAAAACGATCTGCATGAGCCCCTGTGT